CAGGGGGGGGGGGTGCTTGAGCATATCCACCGTGGACTCAACGGCCTAATTAAGTATACTGACGTTGACCACAATACATAGCGGCATTGATATGACCAAGGGTACAGTTGATATTTTCCGGTCGCCCAGGGCGATTTATCGGACAAAGTCATATCTTCACAGTCCGTCCTGAGTTTACAGTTCGTAAGATGTCCTTTGTACACCTGGCAACAAAATGAAATATTATAATCAAGTTGAAAAAGTCAAACTGTGTTGGTCACTGTGCGTGGAAATCTTCATAGCAAGTCTCAGTGTCAATATTTTTATTTGTTTGCCAAGGGCAGCTTGCGTTGTGCCGGATTAAGAGGAGCTTACTTTGTAGTTTAGGGTAACTTGGTTTTATAATGGAAATCTGAAAGATAGCTCGTTTTATCACTGGCATTCTACTAAATTTTTCTTTTACTTTTTCATCTTCTGTTGCCGTTAAGCGTCAAGGGGAGATGCAGTTTTCTATGGTAGGCCAGCTCCGCAGCTCTTTCAGTTGTGATGTTATGTTTTCTTAGGGTTTTCTTGACACCCTCGATCCACCTTTTGCGTTACCTTCCTCTTCCTTTATAGCCCGAGTGCTTGGTGTTGTAGGCTCTCGAGGCTGGCTGGTCAGGTGACATGCGTAACAGGTGGCCAAACCATTTTATTCTCTGTCTTTCTATGTAACGCAGGCAGGAGTCAGTGTCGATAGCTCTGCTTTTACTTCTTCATTTCTCTGCCTGTCTCGTCTTGTGATGTGAAGTTATCACTGGTATGCAGCATGCATTAATTTGTACCCCTTTTGCTCTTTTTTTGTCCAAGAACTAGGAAACCTTGCCGAAACTATCTAAATGGATGACATTTTTACATGTATATTTTTAGAAAGATCGAACTGAATTTATCTTACGGTATTATATTTTTAAAGAAAAAAAAAACACATTGATTTAATTTTTTTCTGCCTTCTTTTTTTCTGTGGGATAGAAGGGACTAACAACTCATCAACAGAAACAGCACGGTACATAATGATAAACTGCAAAGTCAGAAGAGATCCAACCCAAAGCTTACTAAAACACGAGGGAGTAGTAAATAAGCGCAAAACAGAGTAAGGTTTGAAACCATTTTATTACGTACACTATGGAAATCGGTTAATTTTATTTGTTTGTTTGTTTTTTGTTTGTTTTTTTGTACGAGTTTACTGCCATGCCTGACACAAACAGGTCCTGTCAAAGGCAGAGTAATAGGGTCTAAGGGGGAAAAAAACCTACTTTGCTATGGTGCGGGCTAATTAACGCCCTGATACACCGTGGAATCATGTACATGTAGTAGGTAGAGTCCACGAGTGCAAGGTTTGTTTCCAATAGGATTAAGTCCGATAGATGGATCACTTTTTTTAAAAATTGAAGAAAAATTAGGCTTTGTTCGTATTTCAGAAACATTACTACATTTTTTTCATCAATGTAAAAAAAGTGAAATTGAGAAAAACGGAAAGCATTACCTTTTTAAAAACATTCAGCTGAAAGGACCAGGATTGGTTGAAAAAAATATTTAAAAAATTAAAATCTGCTCCAACATATGGATATCTCATCATTGCCTTTCTCACCCTGCACCAGGGTATAGTCCACGGACAAACACCCTCCACTTTTTTCTATCCTGGGCTAGCTTCTTGATGTTATTCCATGTCTTCCCACTTTTCTGTCCACTGTCCTTCATTGTTCCTGCTGATGCAGAAGCTCCTCCGTCTCCCAGGATCGAAAAACAAAAAGATGTGTTTGTCCCTGTTTCTGTAACTTACAGTTTTTTACTGGGTTGGGTAGTTGGCCTTCCGCAAACTGGCACTTTTCGGGCGACCAGACCTATGCACTTTTAGTCGCCTCTTACGACACGCAGTATCATGGCAGGTGTATTCTTTGCTCCCCCATAGTAAAACTACGGGGGCCCCCACCAGCAGGGGAGATGGATATCTCACCTTGCTGATAAAGTTTTGGAGAAGTTTGGGAAGGAGAATTGGGATTGTGCTGTTGAGAAGGTCTAGCTCCAGTTGGGTGAGGCCACACCTTACTCACCAAGAGTGGTCCTTGCATGGTTGCAATAAAGTTTACAACTGAATAGTCTCCGTATTCCCTTAACTTGAACCCCCTTGATAATTTCCTTTAATATATGTATGTATTTATATTTTTTGACAGATCTAGTCTACAGAAACAACTCACAAACAGTCAAACAGCTGAAAAGATAGCCTAGGTGTTGTTGTTTTTTAAACATACTGCATTTCAAAATAAATGTGAAGCCCGCCACTAAAATTAAGAGAAAATCACTGTCCTTTGGTGATGTGTTTATGAAGGGACTTAATGACAAAATCTACTCTAGAGTCTATACTAGATATGTCAACTCAGAGAATCCAAAAAAAAAAAAAAAAGACTGAATGAGACACAACGTGCAACGATAGCGATCCAGAATGTATGGAGAACAGAAATACAGTCGAAAAAGATGGAGACCAGATTTGAGACAAAAAATATGTACTTTTACGATTATTTCAATTTACATGATAGTTATTCAATTATTTTCTCGTGGTGTATCAGAATCAAAGTGATATTATATTGTTACAATGTCAGTCATGCGTCGTATGATTTTAATCGCAGACCAAGAAGTTTTCCCTTTTTGACAAGTTATTTACACTTACAACAACTTTCAAGACTAATCAAGGTATATTGGATTAAACGTATTATGTTGTTATCACAAATGTGTCATGACAGCCGACTCTACATGTTTTTCGAGGTTTGGGTTCGCGTTCTGTGAGGCTGTGGTTGTGGTATTGCCAGGTAAAGCATCTTTGTTGCTATCACCCCCTCCATTGACAGACACTGAAGAAAAACTAGTTTGACCAGCCTCTTGGTGTTGGGGCGTATTTCCGTGAGGTTGTGAAGAACCGTTGTGGGCGGGGTTGGGCTCTAAATCACCGCTTATGTAGGCAAGGTTGTCTTTGCCAATGGTGGCGAAAGTGTCGTCATCTTTATCCTCTTTGGCTGGAGGTTTGTACACGACAGAGGCGAGGATGTAGAAGATCATGCCCATAGCCTGGGAAATGGATATTTAAACAGATTATTTGTAGTGTATAGTATATGTATATGTGTGAACTGCCAAAAAAAAAGAACAACGAATAAACCTTGGATCACTGAAGAAATCTTAGAACTAATGACAAAAAGAAAGAGAGCCAAAAACACACTAAAATACAAAGACTTAGACATATTAATCAAACTAAAATGCAAAGAGGCCTAGGAAGCTCTGATTGATAGAACATGTTCAGAAATAAATATTGAAAATAAGTCAAACAACTCAAAAAAGATACATGACAACATTCAGGAACTCATCGGAAGAAAGCATAACAAGAGATCGTCAGGAGGCGTTGCAGAAAAGAAAGGCAAAATTTTATTTGAGAAAAAAGAAGTCCTAGGAAGATGGGCAGAATATGTAGAATTCTTTTAAAGTTGAAAGACCACCCCAATCACAACTAAGCAACAGCAATGGTCCCATTCCCAACATTCTAAAACCAGAGGTAGAGCTCGCAGTTAAAAGCACCCCAGAAGGAAAAGCCTCTGGTGGAGATGGCATAAACACAGAAACGCTGAAACAATTAGAACGGTGCTACCGTTGAATGGCCAGAATAAGTTGGAAAACAAAAAAGACAAACAAAGAGGTGTGTCAAATTCTACACACAAGACAGACCCTGCTAAGTAAAATAAGATGTAAAAAAATACAATACTATGGCCATTTAAAAAGACACGAGACCATTGTGAAAGAGTTGCTTGAAGGAAAGGTGTGGGGAAGGAGAGCCAGAGGAAGGCAAATTATTACATGGATGGACAACATAAGAACATGGACTGGACCGGATATGACAGAATCTGCAACGGCAGCTCGCGACCGTGAAAGATGGAGGGTCATTACACGTCAACCCCTGAGTCAGAAATGACACCTCCAGGTATCAAGGTGTGTGTGTGTGTGTGTGTGTTATGTGTGTGTGCATGTGCATGTGTGTGTGTATGTGTGTATGTGGGTGCATGTGCGTGTGTGTGTGTGTGTGTGTGTGTGTGTGTGTGTGTGTGTGTGTGTATGCACGAGTGCACGCGCGTGTATAGAGACAAAAAATTCTACTCACCTTGAGAGTGATCTATGTGTGCGTGTATGTACGAGTAACTCTCTTTCTCTCTCTTTCTCTCTCTCTCTCTCTAGCCCACGCTCTCTCTGTATGTGTTTGCGTATGTGTGTTTGTAGTTTGTGTGTGTGCATGTTGGTGGGTATATGTGTATGAAATAAAGAGAGACAGAGAGAAGAAGAAGAGAGAGAAGAAGAAGAAGAAGAAGAAGAAGAAGAAGAAGAAGAAGAAGAAGAAGAAG